CAATACCGCTACTATCACTATCACTACGACTACTACTACTAACTGTACTGATATTACGACTAATAGTTCTATTATTATTGTCCCTACTACTATTAGTAAGGAGAAGAATACTTTCACTACTGCTAATTTTATAATCATTGTTACTACTTATACGACTTCTATTAATATTAAGACTACAAGTACTACTACGACTACCTTTACTAGTAACAATAAGATTAATACTTTAACTACTGCTACTGTTACTATCAACTAAACTATTACTGATATTACTTTCACTAATACTAAGACCAATATTACTACTACTACTACTACTACTACTACTACTACGAGTATCACTACTAATGTCATCAATACTATCACTGCTACGTTGCAATTGTAAGAATTAGCATAAACAGAGATAGCTAGGTCAGTAATATGTTTCACCCTTGCATCGATTCTCTTTAATAACTTCTCTAGAAACTTAGGAATCTAAGTTTCATGCCATGACGTTTAACCATCTGGATATCTCGGATGTAGAATTATCGATTATTGTTCCAGTTGTTACGGTTGTCGACTAACATTTGTCCAAAAAGTCGAAAAAGTTCGGACTCACGTCCAAAAAGGAGCTGCGCTTGTTCCAGCGTCTTCGGATATCCGTCAAGCACGAAACCTTGATTCTGACAGGGTTTCGAGAGCAACTTTTTTCGCAGGTAGCTACAGATGCGAAAGCAAAACAAACTTCAATTATGGAAGAATTTTATCGGCTTCTCACCAAAGTATGCCTACCAGAATCTTTGCCCTGTAAGCGCTTAAGGACGAAACACTAGGAGGCTACATTAGAGCAATTTGATAGAGAAGCCATAAACAGTGTGATGAGTAAAAATCACACAGGTGCTATCGGATGAAGAGAGCTGGAGTACATAGGAAACCATAGGACGAACGTTGATCCCCAGACCCTTCACTAGCCTGATTATTTCAGGCCCTAACATTCAAACTAAGGCCAGCGGTCTGGAGGCTTACTTGATTACGA